AATTTTTTTTTATAAATATATTCTATAAATCTTCAAATATTAAATATATTTATTTAATTACAAGTTAATATATAAAATTTATATAATTATATTTTAATACAAATATATTAAATTGGTGTATTATGCTTAATAAGATAACTAATATTTAATAAGCTATATTATTTTAAAGTTTGTAGTTAAACAGTTGAAATTATTAATAATTAAATTAGAATATAAGAAAATATTAAGTATTTTTTTAAAATGTTTATATTTATATATTATATTAATAAACAAACTAAATAAAAATTTTAAATTACAACAAAGTTTTTTTGAAAAACTTTTAACTAAGTATTTTAAACTTCTTAATAATATAAAAGAATTTAATATAATTATTAATATTTGTAAATTTCTATATATTAAAATATTTCAAATACATTTAGCAATTTTAAAATACAAATCTTATATTTTTATAATAATTAGAAAATATTAGTAAAATAAAAATAATATTAAAAGGTGTAGCAACCTAGTGAAGAGAATAGGTTGTTAACCTCCAATTGGCAGGTCTAAGGTTCAATTTTCATGAATAATAAATTTTGAAAATTATATCTATGTTATAGTAACTGTCTCTTATTGATTAGTTGAGTTTATACATCTATAATCTTAGATACATTAGATTAGAGTTTACTGATTTTGGAAGCTTGAAACATCTATATGAAGTATAATATTATATATATATAAAGAAATATGAAAAACTGAGAATGGCAATCCTAGTGTAGTAGTTGGGTTGTCATCCTTCAAGTGGCAGGTCTAAGGTTCAAATTCTACCTATGACAAAATTTGATAATTATATTTGCATTATAGTAAACTGTCTCTTGTCAATTAGTTGAATTTAGGTATTTGTAATCTTGGGTATAACCAATCAGGTTCTACTCATCATTGGAAGCCTGGGGCATCTATGCAAAGTGTAATATTACATATATATAAAGGAATATTAATAAACAGTGTCACATAAAACTTCAGTGCAAACTCATGATAAGGCTACTGGATGTAGAAGACTAAGAAACTGAGAAGACAGAAGCCTACTTGGAAATTCCTGAGTAAAGAGTAGCACAAGCCTTTAATGATGCTATCGGACTAATAGAAGCCCAAAAAACTCCAATAAGGAATAGGCAGACATGCAACCAGATAGAAAGATGTGTAAAGGAGCATATGACCAACCAGGCTGCCAAAATCGCCAGAGAAAAAGGATACTAAGGTATACTATACTGGGCTATCTGGATTGGGAGTCTGGGAAGTCTGTTAGATTCTAAGTTGGATAATAGAGAGATGAAGAGAAGAAGTCGGAATGATAAGTACTAGGGTTTGAGTAAATTTTACAAAGATAGAAATAATGTAATGTAGTGGTTAAACAGGTAACCACTATAACTACAAGTGTTAGATAACTATAGCATGTTATATAAAACTAGGTCAGCTGTGTGTGGAACATGAAAGACTCTAGTAATGATGCTTCTGAGGATACACTGCATGAAATAAGAATGGGGTCCTAAGAGAAATGTGTAAAAGTATTTAGACCTTCTTGACTAATAGCTGTATCAGAGATGATCTAGTAACACAGTAAGGATTGCAGCACAGAGGGTTTAAATAGGCAATGCCTCTAGTTGGGTTGCAGGTATGGCAGCTAGTGTAAAACCATTGGCAGACTACTTAAATTAGACACCAAAAGTATATGTATGGCTAGTTGTACTTTCTAATATAAGGTAACTTCTTTGATGTTTCAGCTGCGAGTCCCTATATCCAATTTACTGAATAAAACTCTAGGTCCAAAAGAGGCTAGTTTAATATTATAAAATAAATGTTTAGTATTAATATTATAAAGCATAAACAAGCAGTAATTATATATGCGGATAATACAATATAAATTACAAATAGCAAAAAGCAATTATTGAGAATTTTAAGATATAGTGACCTAGTAAAATGGTCAGATTGTCAACTCTCTAAGTGGTAGATTGGGTGTTCAAATCTTATTGATGGTGAAAAATTTAAATAATTACCTAAGTAATATTTATATTATAACAACTGTTACTAATGATTAAATTAGAATATCTGTAATAGCAATCATATCAGTATAACTGGCAGGTTATAAGGCATTTGTGTAAATATGGTGTTATATAGGGAAATGCAAACTAACAAATCTGGTAGTGCAAATACTAGATTAGTCCTTATGGCCATATAAATCTATTGAAATTAGGTAACAAGAAGTCTATTTGGGAAGACCTAAGTAAAGAGATAACTAGATCTTTAATGACCCTACTGTAAAGCCTAGTTTGGAAAAACAAATACCAAGATTATAGTATCCAGTTATAGTAGCTGGATAGGCAAGAACCTTTAGGTTGGAAGTCTTAGAAATACTACCAACCAGACTGCTAAAACAAACTAAAAAAAAAAGATATTAGGCTGACCTAATATACTGATAGACTGGTTGTAGTCCTATGTAGGTTATCTGGATTGGAAGTTTGGTAAAAAGGCAGGTAAAAAGGCAGTAATATACTAAAGTACCAGGATTATGCTATAAAGTAGGTGCTGAGATCTAAGTAAACTCTATAAGGGCATAGTGGTTTAATAGTTAAGCCCTGATCACAAGTGCTAGTTCTGCTATAGTGATACCTAGGTTAGCTGTAAAAATAGGTACAGAAGGCTCTAGAGAGTTTATCTTGAGAATAAATTAGTTCTAAGGTTGAGATAATAATTTAGGCATCTGGATATGATTCAGTTAGTTAACACAGGTTACAGATTCAGAGAGTTTAAAATAGAACATCCAAGCAGAGTTTTAGGTACAACAATTGGCAAAGAACTTTCAGATGAACTTCTTAAATAGGTAATATAAGAAAGTTACATGTATAGCCAATTGTACACTCTTCTGTAATGATTCATTAAACTACAATACCAATAAGTGATTAATAAAAGTCAAAAAACCAAAAAGGTTATTTTTTAAAAAAAAAAAAAAATTATTGAGAATTTTTGAAGTTGTCGAAAAATTTTTTAAAGCTAATGACATTAAATTAAATAGATCCAAATTAAAGCTTATAATAAAAATGTGGCAATTTAATAAAGTAAATAAATTATTAATTTTCAAGTAGCAGATTTAGAGTTCAAATGCTAGTGTTGATAAAAATTTGCAATTCTTTCACTATTATAGTTAATTGTCTTTTAAAATTAGTTAGATCAGATATCTGTTATCTGTATTATACTAGTATAAATAAAAGATCACATGATATTCATACAGCTTTGTATAAAAAAATACAAACTAGTATTAGATGGTGTGAACTTGTAATAAGGCCTAATGGCTATATAAATTGTAAAACTAAAAAGATTGAAGTCTACTTAAAAAACTTGAATAGAGAGATAATCTGAACTTTTAATAATGCTATTGTAAAGACTAGCTAATAAAACAGCCTAGAACTTGTAAAATTAAATAAAACAAATTGATCTTTAGAAAGAAGTTATTATAACTAGCTAGGTCATCAGAATCTGTTCTAAAGAAAAAGGTTATATACTAAAGAATATATAAACTAGAGGTATTTATCTTTTTAGACTATTTAAACTAAAAGCTTAGTAAAACTTGATTTGAATACTAAAGTAGTAGAAATATGTTGTAAAATAATTATCAAAGTTGGAGTAAACTTTATAAAAACATAGTCATTTAATGATATACTCTAACTGCAAGTATTAGTTTTGGATATAACATTACTAGATTAGCTATAAGAATAAGATATAGAAGATTTTAAAAAATTTAGTACAAGGTCAAAGTTTCTTATATAAGTAACTGTCTTAAAGATTTAGTAATTATAACATATTTGCATTAGTATTTACTAAGGCATCTTGATAGATGTAGATAAATAGGTAGATATAGAAACTAGAGTATTTAAATAGAGAACTTACAAGCAGGTTTTAAGTATAACAGCTAATATAGAATCTTCAGATGAACTATTTAAATTAGACAATAACTAAAGTTATATAAGTAGCTAGTTGTACACTCTGTTTATGATTGCCTTTTGTAATTGTAATACAACTATTAGCTGAATATATTATTAATAAAATCCTAAGTTACAAGTACTTATCTTAATATATTTTTTTTAAAATAAAAATCAAAACTTATAATAATAATATACAAGGCTTAGAGAGAAAGAAAAAAATAATATTTTTAGTTAAAATAAAATAATAAAAACAATTAAAAAACAAGATTATAAAGTTATTAGAAATCTAGCTAAATAACAAAATAAGAGAGTTACTAGTTTGTAAAAAAGCAAAAAAATAGTTAATCAAACAGTTAAAAATTTAAGATATATAAAAATAACAATAAGTCAAATTGCATATATTAACAATATAGTAATAATTTTAAACTAGAATATCTCTTATAGCTAATAAAGATATTAGAAACAAAATATATTAACTATTAATATGTTTAGCAAAACATAAATACAATATAATAAAAATATTAAACAATTGCATAATAAAATACAAAGACTTAAAAAATTATAGACTACTAAGTTAAGAGATAATAATAAAACAAATAAGTAGTCTTTTTTAGAGACTTAATAAAAAAGATAGTTTAAGTAAACGAATAAAACTTGGAATAACTCAGGAATGCCAAAAGCCAGATTTAGCAGAAAATATTTAGAATTCTAAAAAAATATCAAAAAAATATTAGAAGAACAATTTAATTTATTAAACAATAATTAAAGTAAAAAAGATAGAAATAAGTATTAAAGTAAAAAATTGTTTATAAAAAGTATATAATTATAAAAAAAAGAGGTAATTTATATATCACCTAGACGATATTATCACCTCACTTGATTACATAATCACGTGCTTCATAAAATATAATTAATGATCATAGTATAACAGTAGTTAAATAGTAGTACAAAATTATGTAATAGTGAAGTATAAAAGAAAATACGATTAAGAAAAAAATTATTCTTTTTTGTTCTTTTTATTAGCAAAAAACAACAGTAAAGGACAAAATGAAAATACTTACAGTAATATGTATTAAATAAAGCTATTATTTGGCTATTATTTGTGTTGCACAACATAAATATTAACAGTACCTTCAAGTTAGGCAGCATAATACAACTCTGTGGCACCTTGTTACACATGTCAAAAAATAGAAGATAGTCACTTTGGTAGTATATAGAAGTTTGGCTCGATTTTTGATCCAAATTCTTATCTAAACTGAAATTTGGATAAAAGAATCAGATCGTTAGGACTAGTTTTTTTTTTTTTGGTAAAGCAGTGAATAATTATATTCATTCTACAGATAATAATTTTACTTGGAATCAATATAATAGAACCTATCAAGGTTAGTATTATTTTATCAACAGACACATTGTAAAGCCCATGACTAAACATATATTATTTAAAATTAGAAGAATTTAACAATATTCCACCTATAGGCTTTGTTTCGGGTTCAGAACTCAGTAAGTTTAATGGTCGAAAATAATAAGCTAGCTCAGAATACAGTATATTAAAGCTATTTCATTTGATAGGCTCTTTTTTGAATCTGGAACTAGAAAACCTTAAGGCTGCTTTAATTCAATCAGTTACTAGTGAACATTTGATAGGCCTATTTTTGGATCTGGAACTAGAAAACCTCAAAGCTGCTTTAATTCAATCAGTTATACATGAAAGCTCTTTAATTCAGTTAGTCACTGATGAATGTTCTTTAATTCAATCGGTTCCTAGTGAATGTTCTTTAATTCAATCAGTAGAATCAGAAGAGTCTAATAGATTAGAAACTTTGGATCAAGGTAAATTCTGTTTTCAAATTATCTTTTTTTAGGTTCAGTTTTAAAGTTGAAACTTGAAATTGATATACAATATCTTTTAACATAATTAGAGGAATTTGAAACTGTAACACAAGGCAGATTCACTTTTAGATTCAGAATTAGATAGTTTTTAAACTTTAGGATAAAAAATTCAGGTTTTGAACTAAGTTAAAACTTTTTTTATAGGTCCTATAGTAGGGTCAGAATTAGAACACCTTAATTCTACAGAATTTCCCTTATTAACTGAACCAGTAGAATTGACTGCTAGTTTATGTTTTCCTTCTTGGTTAATTGCTGAACATTATATTAAAGAATATGAATGACAAAGAGGATTTGCTATTAATCATTATTGAGTAAAATATCACAAGAACTCTGATTCATCTAAACAAATTGTAAAAAAGAGAATGTTTCCTTGTGAATATGCTGGAGTTTACAAGCCTAAAAAAACAAAATTATTGGATCAACAACATAACAAAGGATCAAAGAAAATGAATTGCAAATAGCATGTTAACTTATCTAATTCTGAAAATAGAAGTTTTGTGCATGTAGTTTTTGTATACTCAGAATATAACCATGAATTACTTGCTGATAATGCAAAATTTGCTGTGAAATTCAGAAAATTTGATTAATCAATATTAGCAGAAATTGAGTGTGCAGTTGTATATGAATAGTGTGATACATATACTATAAGAAATTTATTGCAACTACTGTTTCTTGATCAACTATTTTTAATGCAAGATCTTTCTAATGCTATTTAGAAAATCAAACAGGAAAAACAAATTACAGAATCTGATGCATCTCACTTGTTAAAAATTTTACTCAATTAACAAAAAGAAGATCCAATAATGTTTGTATAGCCATTAGTAAATGCAGATAGTGATAGATTGTATGGAATATTTTGGATAACTGCAAATCAAATTGAGCTATGGTTGCATTATTCAGATGTTATACTTCATGACAATACTTCCAGAACTAACAAATATAATTATCCATTGTCATTGTTTATAATTGTTGACAATAATGAAAAGTCATATTTAGGTGTTCAGGCCTTTTTAAATGATGAAACTCAAGAGAGTTATGAATAGATTCTGCAACAAACATTGGATGCTACAGGTTATGAGCCAACAGTTATATTAACTGATATAGATCTAGCTATAGAGACAGCATGTAAGGTGATTTACAAAAATACTTATTATATGCATTGCATCTGGCACATGTTTAAAATTTACCAAAGTGGCTCAAGTCTAAGCTTGAAACTGCAAATTTTAAGCCATTTGTTGATGATTTTTGGAAAATGCATAATTCATTATGTGTGAAAGTCTTTGAGCAATGGTTTCAAACACTTTTAGAAACTTACCCTAGTGCTAATGAATATTTGCAAAATTCACTTTATTCAACATAACATTCTTGGGCACGTGCCTATATAAGCTGTATCTTTATGACTGGTATGCAATCAACACAATGTATTGAGTCAATCAATGCAATTATCCATAAAGTTGTTTCTTCCAGTTCAACTATGTCAGATGTAGTCAAAGCTTTGGATTCCTAAATGCAAAAAAAGGCAATGAATAAAGATTTTTTAGCATGGAAATATAAATTAACAACATATCATTAACTATTTGTTGTGAATAATTTTTTCAGTGAAATTAATAGCACAATTAAAAAATACTTTTCACTACAAATTGTCATGAAAATCCAGAAACAAATATGTGAATTAGTGTTATATAAGTGTGAAAAGTTATCTATTAATGAAGCTTTTAAATTTACTAAAGATCAATCAGTAGATTCTGATTAAAAAAAAAAAAAACTAAGCTAAGGTTATTTTTTTATTATATTTTAGGATCAAAATGAACTATATAAAAGTCTAACTAATCCAACTTATACTAATAATTCAGAATGCATTGAGGACATCAAAAACTATTATGATTACTGACAAATATATCTAAAATCACTGTTAAATTCAGTTAAGAAGAATTCAGTTAAAGAAGTTTAGCAGATTATTTCTTATATAGCGCCAAGCTCGTATCAGCATATTATAATTCTTAATGATGGAACTCATTTATGCACATGTTTATTATTGGTTTCTAATAGAGTCATTTGCCAGTATTACTTCAAATTAATGATCGAAAATCAAGATGCTTTATTTCACCCAATGCTAATGCCAACAAGATGGCTTCGAGATGAAGTCTGAACTTGTGCAGATTCTGTTTTTAAAGAACCATTTATTGGAACATCATCAAAAAATTTAAAGCAGAGTGATCACACTCTTTAGCAATTTATATTTATTCCTAAGCATTATAATAACATTCAAGAAGTTTAGACCCATTAACATCTACAAAAAAAAATACAATACGGTCACCTTATAGGACATTTTAAAAAGGCTTTAAACTATTCATTAAAAGATAATAACTAAAGTAGTTTAGATAATATTATATTAGCATATATTTCTGAGAAGGAAGCAAAGCTAAATGCTGCAGTACAATTGGAAAGAGAGAACATTCTTAGTAAAAATATGGATTTAAATAATATATTGAAGTTGCCAGATAGGCATGTTTGCAATATTGATGATATTAAAGATCCAACAAAATACCAAGATAAAGGTAGACCTGCTAGTAATCGTATTAAGGCTTATAATGAGAATAAGAAGGTGAATAGTAGTATATCTAAAAGAGGAAATGCTTCCAAAAATCTTGAGAACACAGTAGAAAATGATAATACCAGTAAATGTAAATGTAGATTGTGCAGTAAGACAAGACATTATGTACCCAAATGTTCTATTAAGAAAAGTTAACTATATTTAATAGAAATAACAGTTTGTATATGTTATTAGAATTATAATACATCTAGTTTAGTCTGTGCCAAAATAATATTTTTGCATTTTATGTGGTCATAATTCATGTTTATTGATATTGATATTGCTTTAATGATATTGCCTTATTGATTATGCTATTAAAGTACTTTATGTATGAAGAGCTAATTTTAATTCATATAAGTTAACTTTTTACTAAGAAATATAAATGTGTAGAGACACAGTTTACTTTATGATTTCCAAAAAGAAAATTTATACATCTGATTTAATCAGGCACAGTTATTTTTTTTTGGCAGCACCCATACGTAATATATATATCATTATTGGTTAGTGTGATAAATATATGAGTTAAATTATTAGAAATTTTCAGTAGAGTAAGTTAGTGTGATAGTGTGTAAATATGTAAGTACAGTATGTACAGTATGTAAATATTTGAATTAACTGTTAATACTGAATCATGTAACATAAAATTTATACATATAAATTATATTAAGTTAATCACATATTCGATATTATATATCACACAAAAATTGTACTATTGCAATACTGGCCAATCAAATTGTATCTCATAATATGGATGATAAATAACATATATTGCACTATGCAATAAATAATTTTTTTTTAAAAAAAAAATAAAAAATATAATAGAAACTAAAACATAAATAACAAGTAATAATATAATAAATAAATAAAAATTGCTATATTTGAACCAGCTTGCAAATATAAAAGGTAAATATTTGATTATATAAAGACAACTTAAAAGTCTTCAAAGACTATTATATAAAAAAAAACCAAATAGTTTAGTAAAATAAAAAGAAAAATATTAGTAATACAAACAAATAGAAAAAGATACAACTAGTATAAAATAAACAGCTATAATATACAAATATTAAAAACTAAATAGATAAAAATTTTAAAAGACCAAAAAATATATATATATATTAATTAAAACATAGCTAGCAAATTAGCAAAATAATCAAAAAAAGCAAAATATTAATTAATGCAAAAAGAAAAAAGAAAATAATTACAAAAATAAGTAAATGCAAAAATTATAAAAACAGATCAGAACAAATAGTAAACAAGTATAAAAGATAGATAAGATAAAATTACAAACTATTTAATAAAAATTTTAGTAATAAACAAAAGAAAAACAATGATAAATATAACTTTTATATAAATAAATCATTATATAAAAAAAAATAAAAACAATACAAAAAAAATAAATATTAGTTAGATATAAAAAAAAAACTGGTCAAAGAAGACAACTACACTAAGTTTTGAGAGATAATTCTTAGCAAAAATAGCAAAATTAATAGTAATATGATTAGCAATCCTAATATTAATAAAAAAAAATACAAAAGTAGTATTACTATATTAAAAAACATTAACAAAGCTATTTTTAAAGTACAGAAAATAAAAGAATTATTAAAAAAAATAATGTAAATAATAAACATTGTAAGTCTAATTAAGAACAAGAGTATTAAAATAGAAATAATTAAAATTAAAAGTTATAATAAAGATAAGTGAAATGATATAGCAGAAAGAAAAAAGCAATTAATAAAGAAATAATTTATATAAAAAAAGTTCAGTGCAATAAAATAGATTAATATTTAAAGTAAGAAAACAAAAAGATTAATATACTGATAAATCTTTTTTGTAAAATAATTACAAATAACACAATTAAAACTAGTTAAAAAAAAACAAACCTAATTAGAACATTAGAGCCAAAAACAGAACATGCATTATACAACTAATCAAGTTTTTGAAAATAAATAAATAAAACAAGAAAAGTATATTATATATCAAGAAAACTTAATACAAGAAGAGTTATAATAATTAAGTGCATAATAGTCTATTAATACTAGACAAATTAAATAGAACAAGACCAAAAATATATAGAATAATAGACTATTTTGTCAAAATAAAAAAAATTTAAGCATATATAGTAAGTTATAGTAGACAAAAAAGTTTGTAAAAACAGTTTTAAAAAATGATAACAATAACAATATAGTAGGCTTAAAGAATAAGAAAAAATAAAATTCTATTACAAGTATTATATATATTATTCAAAAAAACAGAAACAGAAAAAATTATAAACTAAAAAACATTAATAAAAATAAGAAAAAAAATTTAAATAACTTTTAAACAAACAAATAATATAAAATTATATAAATATAATAACAAGAACAATATAGAACATATTTTATAATTAGATATAAAGAGTTTGATATAAAAGAATACAAAATAAGAAAAAAAAACCAATATAACAAATAAAATAAAAAGGATACATAAATAAAAGAAAAGTTAAAGAAAAGAAAAAAGAAAAATAATCTAATAAAAGAAGAAAAAAAAGAAAAAAAATAGAAAAATAAACTAAATAAAGAAAAAAGCTTGAAAAACAATTAATATATTTATTATAGAAAAGAAAAAACTCTTCTAATATAGTTTTAAGTATTTAGATAAGCAGTTTATTTTTAACTAAGATAATATAGCAAATTGTATTTAAATACTATTAGTCATCTTATTAAGCATGCTACACCAACTTGATACATTTGAATTAAAATATAATTACATAAAATTTTACATATTAACTTGCATTTCAATAAATATATTTAATATTTGAA